ATTGTTTGACAGTTATTTTGATAAACAGCAATTGTTTGACAGCTATTAAAATAAACATTCGAAATTTCAAATGAGCTAAAACATTCATAAATTAAAATAGAAATAGGTTTTGACTACATTACCTGCGTTATAGCCTATTTCAGTAAACCTCATCTTGAATCGTGCTGTAGCCCCACTTTTAAAGTTGTTGTCCTCATTGCTGGTGAATATGATAGTCATGTAAAGTCCTGATGATGTTATAGTTTGTGCTGAATACTGTGGKYTACAAATTGTYTTCAGCTCCCTRCTATAAGTAKATGGACCATCCCGTATTGTAAGAACATCATCATTAACTGAACYTGAGCTGCATGAGGAACTGTAGTAACTGTACATCTTAGCTTCTGATAAAATCAGCTGAATTTTGTTTGCACTTGGWGGTGCTGTTATATACCAAACRCACTTGATATTGCTTGGGTATTTGTTGGGATACAAAGGACTTTCAATGTACTTAAATGATGAATTGAGAGATGTTGACAATTTGATATTGGAGTTGGTTATAGGTGAAAAAAATGGAGAACATGTGGAACCGTCTTGACCTGCAAACAAAATTCATTGATTCAAGAATTATTAAATGATTATTAGTGTAAATTCAAATTTAATGATTATTTATACACAACATTATTCTGTAGAACCCCAAAAAAACTACCTCATTGCTCTATCACTCTCTCGCAGTCTCTCCTAAAATAATGAATCCTAAATGTGATCCAGGTATTGATAGATAAATAGCAAAATTGATATCATTATAATACTTACTTGGAGCTCTCACTGCTATATATTTCATTCTAAATTTATGGTTTAATGCAGCAGAACTAGAAGAGGTGAATTTGATGTACAGGTATCTAGAGGTAGACCCAACAGTTGCTGGCAAATCAGAACCACAGTACTTTCCAAGGAGTTTACTGCTGGACAGATATGACGAGTCATACACCTCCAGAATGTCACTGACAAAGCTTTGGCAACGTCCAAAAACAGTATATCCATAAGTCTTGAATTCAAGAAATGTCAGCTGTACATGGTAGCCTATTGGTGCCATTATTACCCATGTACAGGATGAACTCTTAGCATAGTTTGATGGGTATCCTGGGCTTTGTATGAATTGTTCATAACCTGAGTAAGCATTGCGGTCTCGCATACCACACTGAGCTGGAGGACAAAATTTGTACAAGATTAAATTACAATATCTTTTTTAACCAATTTAAATATCAGATCATGGTTGGCTAATAAGAATCAAATTACAATCTAAAGGATTCAAGCATGTGAAAATCAGATGTTCTTCAATTTTTCTGAGATCAAACAATCCTTACCTTGTGTTGTCACACATTTCAAACTCAAAATCACTGAAACATAAAAAAATAAGCAATATGATATCATACAGTCACTGATCAACCTCATCTCTTCACGAATAGACCAATGGGAGGATAGATATTCATTGAACATAAATTAGATCAATTCAGGCCCAGTTCATACATCATGCTGTTATTCTGCCAAACCAAATATTTTGAATTTGCAGTACATAAACAGCTCAACGTATGAATCAGTTGAGTTTGACACGATTGTGGCTCAATAGCTGCACAGCAATGCTGATTCAAACGTTGAGCTATCATAGTGCTGAACTTCGTGCACAAAAACATCTTTTTTCAAGAAAAAAAGGGGGGGTTACTCCCATATATTTGCTATACAGGGACGTGCCGCTGGCCAGGGTATGGTTTTGGCCTTGCTATCTTAAACAGGGTATACATTTCACCCGAAATTGTCTTAAACAGGCTCTACAATTTAGATAAAAGACCGAGATAATTTTTTTTGTGTGTCTTGGACAGGGTAATATTTTTGTAAGAAATACCGTAGAAATAGTAGAAATAACGTTTCACTGTAACAGGATTAACGTGTTGTCAGTATAAGTACAGTTTTGATAGTTGCGGCATAGATACCGATTCCTTATTTTTCTGATTTGTCTTGAACAGGGTATGGATTTTTACTTTCTAGCGTCTTAAACAGGGTCAGGGTTTTAGACCGCTTGCGGCACATACCTATCCAAAACGGGGTCGAGTAACCCCTCCCCCCCCCCCCCGGCTATTGGACCTTTTTAAAATGATGCTTTTGACTCCATTTGGATGGATGCTATAGTCAACGTTAATGTTTTAGAATGACACAAATTTATTATTTGGTTCGATGAAAACCACTAAAATAGACTGAAGCCTGATTCAGATG